TGAGTGGAAGAGCCATTGATGAAAGATATTAATATGGTTCTGTTTTTGGAGCAGCGGCCGAGCAGCGTTGTGGGAGTCCTTTTTCATACAGGCTGAAAGCTAGACTTTGGGAGAGATGCGTCTGCACATGGAACGTGTGCAAGTTTCAGCTTGCTACTGCGACGCAAACAGAGTGAAAGATGTGATTTCATTGATGAAAGAGGTGGCGTCGGAGACTTGACTAATTACCATGACACGAGGCATGTTTTCGCCCAGTGAGACAGGCAGAGGGACGAGGTCAAGAAAACTTCGGACATTGACACGGTTTCGCTTGTACGGCTTCTGAGTGCTTAAAACTGGCAGACATCGGTTTCCTTTCACGGGACATGAGTGGTGACAACATGCGTGAGAGTCCCTCTTGGACCGATATGTGTGGCCCGCCCAAAGCAAGAAGTGTGCAAGTGATGCTCGCCTTCATCCAATGTACGCAAGACCGTGCGGAGAGCTGGCAAACAAGACAGGGCAGTGACGGGAGAGTGCGAATCTGACCAATGTGCCGAGACGCATTCCCCTCCAATGGACGAAACTAGTAGCTTTTGCAGCATACAACAAGGTCATTCCCAAGGCCGTTCCGGAGTATGTAGACGTCATGGAGCGCTATCGGAAGGATCCTTGGATTTGATGAGGCAGGCCCAAAGAACGAGCCCTGCGAACCGAAGAGGCAGGCAAAGTAAGCCTCGAACTCGCTCCGTCTTTCTCGAGATTCCTCAGGCACGTGGTGTTCGGATGGCATTGCACGCAGTCAAGATCAGGAAGTGTTCCGACTTCTTCTGGGCTCCATGGCGCTCACTGCCGCCTCCCTCGACCTGCCGGGGCCTTAGAGGGCAGCGGAGGTGGCATTGCAGTTCGGGAATTTGGGAATGCAGAAGAGACTTCTGAGGCCATTGGGGCACTTCGAGCCTTTCTTCCCGACAGAGAAACTCAGTGCGGCCGGGCTGGGCGGGCCACGGGTTGCCAAGCCTCGTAGCTTTAGGCTGCACTCAGCTCATTAAAGACGTCGATTGTGCGCACGGTTCGGCAGGCTTGTGCTTTTGTCGGTTGGTAAGATCTGGTTTTCTCTTCTGATGTCCAGAGACCAGACTTTCCTCGTTGTCGGTTTCTGCGGGTTCGAATCTACAAATTCGTCAATTTCTCCATCTGGTTTCTGTATGCGCCTTGCAGTTTTTGCTCCAAGTCGTACTGCTCGACTTCACACGCTCTGAAGCGCTTCCCATGTGTTGTCAGGCCCAGAACGAGAACAGCATACGCTTGGCATACTACCCGGCCTACAAGGAAGGGCACCACGGCTCAAGAGTTTCAGGCCAAAAGTTCGATCGAATCCAGTCAGCTTTCATCTAAAATATCGGATACATAGTTGCTCTTATGCTCTTAAACTCCTGTAACTCTTTGTGTTAGCCATGTTTTAGGATAGAGTTCCAGGCGCAGGCCCGACACACACACACACACACACACACACACACACACACACACACACCCACACCCCCACACCCCCCC